CAATTCATGGGGCCCCCTGGCAATAGGGGATCATGGGGCCCCTGTGTCCTTGCCCAAACTCAAAAAAGCCTATGAAAAAGGTACCAGGAACATCTCACGGCGCCCCCTACTGACCCCGGGCCCTCGGGCAGTGCCCGAGTTTCCAAATGGTCAGTCCGCCCCTGATCCAGTGTGCATGAGGCCTAAAAGTATTTATTGGATTTGCAATCCCACTACATTTTCGTCTATTATTTGTCTTTTAGATGTTTGGTTAGATGTCTGATTTACTTTTACTCAATGAATTCATCATAGTTTATCTTTCTAAAAGATTACAAAAAAATCTAATGTTGTATAATTACTGTTCTGTCGTGCAGAAAAGTACACATGCACTCAGCAGTATGCATTTCCAGATAAACAGCTATTTCTCAAGCTGTGCAAAAGAATCCAAAAGTAGAGATATTCATCAGATGTAATGTTTAATGCTTTGTCTACACATAAGTGTGCAGATACGGAGTATAGTATTTGTATGGCAAAGATGGCTTCCTGGACTAGAGCCAAAGATTTATACAGAAAACAAAATTGAGTCTGCAATAGCATTTATACCACAATACCAGGGGCAGACTGACAACTCATGGGGCCCCCGGGCAATAGAGGATCATGGGGCCCCTGTGTCCTTGCCCAAACTCAAAAAAGCCTATGAAAAAGGTACCAGAGCATCTCATGGGGCCCCCTACTGACCCCGGGCCCTCGGGCAGTGCCCGAGTTTCCAAATGGTCAGTCCACCCCTGCACAATACTAAAATATGCAATATTAATATTCAAGATATTAAAAGATTTATAGAGAAAGATACAAGCTTTAGTCCTCATGCACACAGGGTGTTTTGATAACGCTGGTAACGTTAGTTGTGTAAAGTCATGTTAAAAACATGAGTTTTTCAGCTTTGTTTAGCGTTTTTTCATTAGCATTTAGCAGCGTTTTTCCACGTTTGCGTTTTTTAGCATTTTTTTTTACAAAACCAAAAATTTTTTTTTTTGTCAAAAAAAGTCCAAAAACTCTGGTTTGCTGTATTTTACTGTGTTTTTCAGCATTAAAGCATTTTTACAGCTTAAAACCTCCTCTAGAAACCCATTAGTCCTGGGTTTCTTTTTCAGCCAAAAAACGTCCCTGCCAAAAAAACATTGATTAAAGTCTATGTGTGCATGGATACATAGGATAACATTCTGGGGGGGTTTACTGGGTGTAGAAAAAACATCAAAAGCCAAAAACGGCCGCTTTAAAAACATCCAGTGTGCATGAGGACTTAAGCCTGGGAAGGTTTAGTTAAAATTGCTGCAAGTTTACTTATGACATGTCTATGGATGTTTCACATTTTTTCAAAATATGTACCTCTAACAGGATACCAAGAGATTAGAAACATTTAGTTGTCTGAATCTCTACAAGGTATCTTTTGTGTTTATTTCCTCCTGCCATGGTTGAGCGATGTGGGCTGGTGACATGATCACATTCGTAGATGTGAACTATTTTGACAGTAATATGATCACAGGATGATGGCTACTATGTAATGTGACAGCCTGGTCCAGCTGTTGCCTTTTTAAAAGCCTAAGGCTGATTTTCCTATTTGTATACAATGCTGGAATTTATGCATTAGGGCTTTCCTCTTGACAGACTGGCAATACATAATGATATTTAAAGTTTTCTTTATTGTTTAGAGTTTGTTCAGCCACTGGTTTACACCGTTTTTTTTTTTTTTCCTTTTTTTGTTACATGACAAGTTTTATTTAAAGTGATTGTAAATCTCAGACATGAAATGTGAACAAAACGTATCCTCTATACTGTACTGTCTCAATTAAGAGCACTAAGTGTCATTTCTGTCTGTTGCCCTGTTCCTCTGCTATCAGCTTGAATCAGTTCTGATAAGTTTTCCTGACACCAAGATAAAAATGGTGACATGGGAGGAATCCCCAACTGATTGACAGCCTCAGCTCTGTTCCTGTGAGCTATGTGGAGGAGGGTGTGTCTCTTCCCTCCAATCAGCTCTCAGAGCTCACTTTACTGAGTTTTACAGTGTGCAATTTCAGTTCTCTTCCCTTTTATTATTGTTATTATTATAATACAGCATTTATATAGCACCAACATTTTGCACAGCACTTTACAATATAAAGGGAGACAATACAGCAACAATACAAATTCAAAACTAGAGAATTAGTAGGAAGAGTTATTCTGAACTCTCAGACAAGATTTATAAATTCAGCACTTTTAACGAATATAGAGGGGAAAAGACTGTAAATAAACAGATACAACTTATGTAGGAGGATTTGTTTCATCTCTGTGTAACACCTGAGGTCAATCACTTCACTGGGTATATGAGAAGGTTTACAGCCATTTTAAGCAGCCCATAGATTATGAAATTTTCTTTCCTTTTACCACGGGTGACAGAAAACAATGATTACTGCTGGTGACTATAGCCACCAGCAGTATTCACATTAAAAAAATTCAACAGATTGGTTGTACCCAAGTCAGTCAATTGACAGGCTTGGGTACAGTCAGCTTGCCCATAGATGGATCGAAATTCGGTTGGTCTCTGATGAACAGGCCAAGATTCAATCCATCTATGGTCAGCTTTAGTTGTATATACTGCAGCAATGGTGCGATGATTTGTTTTGCATGGCAACAAGCCGAGCTGAAAAAAAGTTCTGCATGCAAGTGAACTGACTTCATAGCAAACAAACTAAATGGCATTGTCTTTTGCATTGGGTCTGAGCTGGAAAAGGCTGCCCAGTGCAGCCCAGTAGAAATGGCATGAAAGGGCCCTTATGGTGGCCAAACACACTTTGATAAATGATCAGTTTCCTTTCCGATTAGTCGCTTCCAATACAAACGATAGATCTATATTTGACAACCTACCCATTTCATCAATATTCTGATCATTGTTAACTATTATACCTCTGTTACCACCTTGTGATCTCAATCTGATTGACCAAAATAGGATCATATTCATGAACAAAGTATCTCAGTGTTTCTGATCCATGCAAAAAGATCGATAATTTCCTGCTCTTGCTGATTGAATCTGATCTAACCAAGTCAAAATTGATCTGAGGAAGTTGTGGCTTTTCAATTGTTTGCAGATTGAAACATTTTGATTGGTCCGATAATAAAATCGAAACGTGTGTGGCCTCCATTAGTCTAAACTAAAAATTGATACAAGCCAGCAGGGGCATAACTATCCTACAATGGTACATAAGGAAGCATGCTGCTTGTCCTCCAGGAGAGGCTGTTTGCTCTGAATATGTGACCAGTGATGTCACTTTCAGGGGCCACATCTCTGCAATTATCCAGCTGGGGGAAAGAGAGGATATATATATCACTTCATCATCAATTCTTCGTGACAACCTAGGCTCCTCCAATTTCAATTGCTGAACCCAGGCCCCGTAGCAGCTGTTGTTAATGAAGGCATGTTAAATCACATGCTGGTTTCCTTACATATCATAGGCAGTCTACTAATCTCTTAATTTTGCTCAACTCACACAATCAGGGCCTGTGTTGACAGGCATTAGGCTTGTGTTGATGGGCATTGAGCTTGTGTTGACGGGCATTGGGCTTATGTTGGGGCATTGGGCTTGTGTTGATGGCATCAACATGAGATCATTTTGAGATACTTCTGAGATCATTCAGAATTTATGGATAGGTGCATTTGACCAGCAGTTGACCTTCTTCTGACCTGCATTTAACGTGACACTCTGGAAGAAAAATTCTATTCAATTATGTCTACCTAATTCAGAAAAGTACCTTCTCCTCTTCTCTGTCTCCTACAAATCTGCAGATTCCTTATTTTTACTGCTGTGATTGGATATCCTGATAGAGGGTGGCATTTGTTCTCCATGGTCCCACTGTATATAGGAACCTAGCCACCCTCTTGCTGGCTTCCAAGATGGACTATGGGCTAGAGACTATGGAATTTGTAGTGTGCATGGAGCAGTGTCCATAACGGCAACTAGTATTTGGGAGGTCACAGGAGACTAGGGTTGCCACCTCATCCCTTTAAAACCGAACACATATTAATTACACAGGTTCTGTGGCTGATTAAGGTGGTAATTAAACTCACTGAGTGGCTTATTTGCATTAAATGAGCCTCAGAACCTGTGTAATTAATATGTGTTTGGTTTTAAAGGGATGAGGTGGCAAGCCTACATGAGACGTTCCAAGAAGGCAAAAAAAACACAGTTAGGCCTCATGCACACTGGGAATTAATAAATGCGGCTTATACAGAAGTTCAGCATTTTTCTAACTCCATCTTAGCCTATGTAACCATGCATATGTGGGTGTTTACAGGGATATTTGTAGAGGAGCATTTACAAGCTGAAAAAAAATCATGTTGTGTTCTTGAGAGGAGCTTTTGGTCAGAAAAAAAACGCTTGACATGGTCTAAATACACATAGACACGTCTGAATGCATTTAGGCACTTCAACCATTTTTAAGTTTAAATGTTTTCTAGTGTTTTAGGGAAAAACACTTATAAACACAAATGCATAAATATGCCTAAAGTTGTGTACAATATGCTTCATAGGAGCATTTTTTTTTGCTGCTTTCTTCTGACTGCAGTTCTGGCATTTATTTCTGCTGCCTAGTGTGCATGGACCCTAAGAAATTATTTGAGGGAAACTAGATTACATGGCTGTTGTGTACTGTACATGTGTATGGATTATTTTTGGACAGTAAGCATCATGGCCGAACTTAGGGGGTGCTGAGGTGGGCTATGCCCCCCAAGATTTTAGTTGTGCCAACCCTAACCTGCCACTATACTATCCTAACTTGCCACTATACTGCCCTAACCTGCCACTATGCTGCCCCAAATTGACACAATTACACCCTTATCTGATATTTTACCACCCTAGTTTGACATTATACTGCCCTAGCCTGACACTATACTGTCCTTGATTGACACTATACTAATCTCGGTTATGCATTGTGTGGGGAGGAGGAGCTCTGCTACCTGTGCCCAGGCTGTGTACAGTGTAGGGATAGGAAGAGGACCTGTGCCTCTGTTTTCTGCCCTGCCAGCAGTGACCCCTGTCTTCTGCCCTGCCAGCAGTGACCCCTGCCTTCTGCCCTGCCAGCAGTGACCCCTGTCTTCTGCCCTGCCAGCAGTGACCCCTGTCCTTTGCCCTGCCAGCAGTTGACCCCTGTCTTCTGCCCTGCCAGCAGTGACCCCTGTCTTCTGCCCTGCCAGCAGGAATGTGTTCAGTCAGCTGCCATTGCAGGGGTCACTGCTGGCAGGGCAGAAGACAGGGGTCACTGCTGGCAGGGCAGAAGACAGGGGTCACTGCTAGCAGGGCAAAGGACAGGGGTCACTGCTGGCAGGGCAGAAGAGAGGGGTCTTCAGCAGTGACCCCTGTTTTCTGGGCCAGCAGTGACCCCTGTCCTCTGCCCTGCCAGCATTGACTCCTGTCCTCTGCAGGGCAAGCAGTGACCTTGTCTTCTGTCCTGCCATCAGTGACCCCTGTCCACTGCCCTGCCGCAGCAGTGACCCCTGTCTTCTTCCCTGCCAGCAGTGACCCTTGTCTTCTGCCCTGCCAGAAGTGACCCCTGTCCTCTGCCCTGCAAGCATTGTGACCTCTGCCCTGCCAGCATTTCTGTCCTCCTGCCCTGCCATCAGTGACCCCTGTCTTCTGTCCTGCCATCAGTAACCCCTGTCTTCTTCCCTGCCAGCAGTGACCCCTGTCGTTTGCCCTGCCAGCAGTGACCCCTGTCCATTGCCCTGCCAGCAGTGACCCTGTCCCCTGCCCTGGCCAGCAGTGACCCCTGTCTTCTGCCCTGCTAGCAGTGACCCCTGTCCTCTGCCCTGCCAGTAGTGATGCCCTGCCAGCAGTGACCCCTGTCTTCTGTCAGCAGTGATCCCTGCCTTCTGCCCTGTCCAACAGTGACCCCTGTTCTCTGCCCTGCCAGCAGTGACCCCTGTCCTCTGCCCTGCCAACAGTGACCCCTGTCCTCTGCCCTACTGACCTCCCATCCTCTGCCCTCCTGACATTTTTTACTGCACCCCCATATCAGACATCAGACAGGTAAGCATGTTGCTTTGTGTCAGTTTAAGTTGCTTCAAGTAACTGTGGCATAGACTTGTATAAGAATACAATTCTTGCTTGAAGAAAACAAAAGTTTGTACCCTTATAAAGTCAAATATTGGTGGCATGCAGCACTTCCTTGACAGATTTTCCATGTTAAATCCTTTGGCAAGAGGCTAAGATGCAAAACACTGCACAGAACTACCTGCCAATTAAGTTTACAAAGATTATAAGACAATGGCAGCTGACTGAACCCATTCCTGCTTCTCAAAAGTAAAACATTTTTATTTATCTTTATTGCTTTTTTTTTAAATTTATTTTCCTGAAATTCGTCTTTAACCGCTTCCCGATCACCCTATAGCAGATAACTGCTTCCCGAGTCACATATATATATGTGATTTTGCCTCTCTGGGTAGGGACGCTCATGAAGCATGTGCGCGTCCTACCCATGCCGCAATTCGTGCCTACAACTGTTAATCACTGAGTCCTGGCCAGTGATTATTCACCGGTGCCCTGTTATTGCCGAGCATCTCCGGCAGGGAGAACTGTATGTAAACAATACAGGTCTCCTCCTTGTCAGCTCCTGTGATTAGAGTGAAGCAAACACACACAGAGCTTACTGTGAAACAGCACACAGTTAACCCTTTGATCACCTCACATGTTAACCCCTTCCTGCCCAGTGCCATTAGTACAGCGTCAGTGCTTTTTTCACTGATCACTGTATTGGTGTCACTGGGGATGTTAGTGACACCAAGTCAGTTCCCCCCCCAGTGTCAAAATTCCCCTCTGCAGTCCCACTATAAGTTTTTGAAACATTACTAGTAAAAATTAAAAAAAAAAAAATTCCAGTATCTTTACCGCTATTTGGAAACGACTATAACTTTCATGTAAACCAATTCATTTACATGTATTGGGTTTTTTTTTTTAGTAAAGACATGTAGCAGAATACATTTTGGCCTAAATTTATGACGAAATTAGATTTTTTTAATTTTTTTACTGGACATGTTTAATAGCAAAAGTCAAAAATATTGTTTCTCAAAATTGTCTGGCATTTTTTTTTTTTATAGCGCAAAAAAAAAAAAAAAAGCACAGGTGATCTAATACCACTGAGAGAAAGCTTAATTTGTGGAAAAAAGGATGCAAAATTAATTTGGGTGCAGCGTTGCATGACCATGCAATTGTCAGTTAAAGTAACGCAGTGCAGTAACACAAGCAAATGGCCTGGTCAGAAAGTGGGGGTAAATCCTCTGGAGGGCAAGTGGTTAAAGTGAAGTGACTGGTCTCAGGTGATACACAGAGATAAAACAAATCCTCATACAGTTTTAACTGTTTATCTGTAGTCTTTTCTTCTCTACGTCCATTCAGAGTTCAGAATTAATACAGCTTGTCTGAGAGTTCAGAAGAAAGGGGGGTGGAGAGCTGAACTTACACTCTGTAAGAGCTCAGTGAGGAGAGTTCTGGGAGCTGATTGGAAGGAATCACCGAGGAGGCTCACAGCTCACAGGAACAGAACTGAGGCTGTCAATCTGCTGGAGGTCCCTCCTTGTCACCTTTTTATCTTTTGGTGTCAGGAAAACATATCAGAAGTGATTCATGTTGATAGCAGAGGAGCAAAGTAGCAGACAGAAATTGACACTTAGTGCTCTTAACTGAGACAATTACACACTATAGGGGGATGTGCTTTTTTCATATTTCACGTCTGAGGTTTACAACCACTTTAAAGTGTATCTGAACCAATAAACATAAAATGAATATATGGCAGCTTACCAGTTCGTAGATGTACTTGCTGCATTTGTTTTTTTTTTTTATCAAGCTTTTTGCAAGTACAGAAAATACTTGTTGATACTGATAGAAACACAACGTCTTTGTAACTTCTTGTATAATTACTGAAATCTGAAAAAATATATCAGCTTTCAAAACTATTTTATATGAACTAAACAACCCCTATATAATGGAGGGAGGGGAGGGGGAGGGGGATTGATTGTACTGCCAGGATTACCAGGTGAAAAACACAGAAAATAAAGTCTTAAAGCGGCAAGAAAACCCTAAAACAATAAATGAAAATGATCGTAAACCTTCTGAAATTTAAAAAAATAACAAGCATGTGATACTTACATGCTCTGTGCAATGGTTTTGTATAGAGCAGCCCTGATCCTCCTTCCTTGGGTCCATTTCTTATGGAGGCACTCGTGCCAGCTCGCTACATCCATAAACACAGACAGCGGGGCTCTGCCCAGCCTCCCCACTCCCTCGGCATAGGATTTGGTTGACAGCGGCAGGAGCCAATGGCCAAACAGAACTGAGAGAGTTCTGCACAGCGCTGAATCGAGATTGGTTTCAGGTAAGTATAAGTGGGGGGATCCTAGAAAAGGAAGGTTTTTTACCTTAATGCAGAGAATGCCTTAAGGAAAAAAACCTAAAGCCTTTAAAACCACTTTAATATTCAGTATTACAGCGTACTAATTTTTAGATGTGGTGAATGCTTTCATTTCCTTTTCAAGCTGTTTTTCCTTTCTTTTCACCTGGTGATCTGACCAGTAATGCAGGCCATAGATGGGTCAAAAATCGGCCAATATTTCTGCCGGAAAAAAAATCGCCCGATCTTCGGATCATTAGTGGGTTAATAGGTTAGCCATTTTTCGGGATTTTGGCACATTTTTTTTATCTGTAAAGTTGGAAAAAAATCGTCCGATTTTGCCGATTGGCTGATTTTCGTGGCAATGATGGGCAAATCGGCCGATCTTTTTACCGATAAAAAATCTGCTCATGAGCCATGACCTGCAAAAAGAGGAAAAAGAAGAAATAGAAGAAGAAGAAATAGAAGAAGAAATAGAAGAAATAGAAGAAGAAATGGAAGAAGAAGAAATAGAAGAAATAGAAGAAGAAAAAAGCAGAAGAAGAAATAGAAGAAGAAAGAGAAGCAGAAGAACAAAAAGAAGAAATAGAAGAAGCAGAAAAGAAGTAGAAGAAATAGAAGAGGAAAAGAAGAAGAAATAGAAGAAGAGAAAAAGTAGAAATAGAAGTAGAAGTAAAAGAAGAAGAAATAGAAAAAGAAGAAATCCAGTCTGAAGAAGAAGAGAAAAGAAAAGAAGTATTCCAGTCCGCTATTATGTATACTACAATGTATCTATTTGTATCCTAATAAAAACATCTGTATCCAAAATGGATACAAATAGATACATTGTTGCAACCACAATACTTTTTCATGTCAAATATAATAGCGGAGCTCTCTGCAGGGACAGAAGTAATTAAATGCCGGCCGTAGATGGGATGAAAATCGGACAATTTTTTTTTTTGGTTGGTAGTACCGTCGGCCTATTGAACGGCCGATTTTTCATTTTTTTGTTAAAAAAACAGCCGGTTTTCGACCCATCTATAGCCTGCATAAGTCTGTTTCTGGGGAATCTGTTTAAGCAAATTTTGCTCTTTTTTTGTCTGCTTTTAACCTCCTTAACATTTCTGCCTCTTCACTGCTCAGTAGCAACCAAGATGTGTGTTTATTCACCAATCTATAACAGTTGGCCACTATACTTTTTTCATCTGAAACGAACAACGGCTTGGCGTTTGCTACCCAATTTGATCTGAGTTATTCTTGGACTGGTGGCTTCCTCCCCTTTGCTCAGAAAAGCTCCCATTGTGTATCCAATCACTACTGATCTTTATGTACATCAGGTGCTGCTATTGAACAGAGTGCTATCATCGACTGGCATTGTTGCTCAGTTTTTCCACTTTCCCTGAAAAAGTGGGTCACATCCCAAAAAAACGTCCAATCTTTTGATTGATTATCCAGTTTTGGATTCGATTTTTCTGGAAAAGCAATTTTGGTTTCTAGTGGAATTACCCTTCTCAAATTACACCCAATGGTGCACCGTTTGGGTAGTCTGTAGTAATTTAGATATTTCCACTAATTAATAACATTTTTCATACATTTCATGTCTGTAATTGTTCTACCAGTTTGATGATGATTAATTCTTTTGATGGTATCAATAGGGTTTTAGGCCTCTTGCCCGTGACATTCTCACGTCCCGAGCCAGAGTCTTTGCCCATTATTATCTCTTTATATTTTTGTTGACTCATTATGCATGTGCCTACATTGGCGTTTGTCTTGCTTACCACTCTGTGTGGTTTTTTTTTTTTATAATGTCATAATAAAATATGCTCTATTATATCAAATATTGTTTATGATTATGCATCTTTATACCCACAATGGTATGGTACCTTAAAAGGCCCCATTATTTTCTCTTACTAGGATTTATTTTCTTCGCTGTTCCAATAGGAGTGTGGTACCTGTAAAACCTTCACACAAGGACAGGT